ACCCACCTGAGCTCAGGGACCTGCAGGGACACAGATCTCACCCACCATGGCCCAGGGACCTGTGGGGACACAGGTCTGACCCCACCATGGTGCAGGTCCAAGTTGTGGCATTGCAGGTCTGGATCGTGGCACTCCACACCCAAATTTTGGCACTTCACACACAAAATGTGGCACTTCACACCCAAACTGGGGCACTTCACACACAAATTGGGGCACTTCATGCACTTCACACCCAAATCATGGCATTGCACGCTCAAGCCATGGCACTGCACACCCAAATTGTAGCATTGCACACCCAAACCCTGGAACTACACACCCAGCCATGGCACTGCACACCCAAATTGTAGCATTGCACGTTCAAGCCATGGCAGTGCACACCCAGATCGTGGCATTGTGCACTCGAGGCACTGCACTGCATGTTCAGACCACAGCATTGTCCACCCAAGCCATGGCACTGCATGTTCATATCACCATCCCTCGTGGTGGGAAATGTCCCCAGGGCTGGGGTTCACCTGCAGGCACTTGGCCCATCCTGTGAATGCACCGTGGCCTCTGTCACGCTGGAACCACCATTATTTTTCTGAGAAATGCCCCAAACCCCTCCCTTCCCCTCTGCCTCATGGTGGGAGCAGCCTGAGGAGCTGCACCCTGCCAGGACCCCTCTGCCTTCCCAGGCACTCAGCCCTGCAGATCCCTGATAACAGCACTTTGCTGCAGTGGGTGGGAGATAACCAGTGCTGCTCCCCCTCCACCCCTCAACCAGGATCTTCCCCCTTTGAAAAGGACAAATATAACCAAGATGAGTCAGTTCCTCCGAGCTCCCGGCCCCTGTACAATATGTAACTGGAATTTTTCATTTCGGCACTGCAGGGGAGGCATAACTGGAGAAGACAATGGAGTCAGCTCCGACCCAAAAAAGCAGTGCCAACTCTGTGAGCCTGGGAAATAAAAACATTTTTTTAATCTAAAAATAAATTAACTGTAAGTGACAACAAGAGCAGATCTGCATGTACTCGCTGTCGGCCCGCGCAGGACCAGTCCCTGCTCCTTGGCACAAGGATTTGGGAGAATTCCCTGCTCTTTTCAGGCCAGGTTGGGATTCACAGCTGTACCACAGAGCCAGGGAGACACTCAGCACCTGCACCAGGAACTGAGCTTCCTGAGCTGGCATCAGACCCAGCAGCAAATCCACAGGAGCCGGGGAAACCTCTTGGGTTTGTTTTCCAGCTGCATTACAGCAGTGAGGGGGGAAAGAGGCTCTGCTGAGCTCAGGGCTTGGCTGGGCCAAGGCACTGACAAACCATAAAGCCCATCCAGCTTCCCCTGATTAAATAAAAGGGTAGGAAGGGTGAGGCAGCTGAAGGCCCCCCTGCCACCCTTGTGTTACTCTGGGCAGAGCAGATCCCTGGGGCAGCCCTGAGCCCACCCTATTGCCCTCCCTGCTCCTGACTCGTGCTTGGAGCAGACACAGAGCGTGTGGGTGTCACAGGAGAGGGTCTGGAGACTCCAGAAAATAAAAGGCAGTCAAAGGACCGCAGGTGGGACCTGCAGAGGGAGCTGGTGCAGTATTTCAGGCACCTGAGAGCCAGGCCAGCATCTCTCCCTGCTCCCAAAACTCCTTTGATTCCGAACCTGGCAACAACCTCATGGCAGAGGGGCCGAGAGCTCCAGGGGGATAAAGCTGTGGCCCAAGCACATAACTGGGATTCTGACAGCACAAAAACACTCCCCAATTTACTGTGCAGCAACATCAACCCCTTCCCTGGAGGCTTCTTTCAGAATTCCAGCACCAGTGGTGGTGGCAGTTTGCTCCCTGTGCATGAAAATCTAACAACTCTCAGCAGGGATGTGGAGAGAGCAGGTGAGGGGAGACATTCAAAACCCAAACCACATGGGGACAATCCTCTCCTTTTCCTTAGGATATTGCCAATAGGACCATATAAAAACGTTCTGCCTCCCGTTCTTTCCTCTGCTCTGTTTTCCAGCGCTGCCTTCACGGGGCTGGGTTTCTTTCTTTCCCCCCTGGACTTGACTCCTCGCTGGGTAAGGCTGTATTTGATATTTTTAATCACTCAGCATGCATCAGAGCTTGGCAGCAGAAGAAAGTGAAGTTAAAAGAGAACAGAGACAGGCTGGGTTTGCCAGGGCTGCCTGCCACGGCCACAGCCCTTCATCGCTTGGGCTGCGATTCCCTCTGCTGGGAAGTCACGAGCCACAGCTGACAAGGGAGAACTTAAAAACCAAACTAATCACCAGCACTTATAAACCTGCAGGTTTTGAAGCCCTTCTTCAAAGAAAAACAGAAGTCCCGAGCCCTCCTGCCTTTGCTGTGCAGATATAAAGGCTTTACACACAGACGCATTTCATGTGCACATCAATATTAGTGATAAACGTTTAGAGTAAGTCTACATTTGTTTTTTAAGGCTGGAAGATCCTGGTCACTGCAGCAATGTTATGGAAATTTTGACTTTCTTTTCCCAGAAGCTGCAGCAAAACGTTTTGTTTTCTATGAGGGCTGTGAGTCTCCCCCTGAGCAAACCTGTTGTGGGTCACTGAAGGATTCCCAGGGGATGGGCAGCACAGAGAGAGGCAGTTGCTGGTTTCTCATCCTGCACCAGGCTCTGCCCTGGAACTCGCCAGTGTTTCCAAACACACCCTGAGTTCATGTGGTTCACGTGTTGCTTCCTTACTTTGACTATAAAGTTTGCATCACCTCACTGAATCCTTGGAAAAGGAAAAAAAAACGTTTATTACAGTGTTACTAACCCATGGAGTCACTTCAAGGCTGCAGTAACTTCCTACCCAGTGCAGACACTACAGTGTCTGTTCTTGGGTCACCCCATGGAGTGTTCCAGGCTGGGGGAAGAGTGAATGGAAAACTGGGGAAGGACCCGAGGGTGCTGGTGACAGTGGTCAGACACAAGCCCAGGTGTGCCCAGGTGGTGCCACTGGTCCCTGGGCTGTCCCAGCACTGGCGTGTCCCAGGGCCAGGGCAGTGCCCGTCCCCATGTGCTGGCACTGCTGGGGCACCTCCAGCCCCGGGGGCAGGTTTGGGGTCCCCAGTAGAGGATATGGAGGGGCTGGAGCGTGTCCAGGGAAGGGAACGGAGCTGGGGAAGGGGCTGGAGCAGCAGGAGAACTGAGGGAGCTGGGGGGGCTCAGCCTGGAGCAAAGGAGGCTCAGGGGGGACCTTCTGGCTCTGCAACCCCCTCACAGGAGGGGGGAGCCGGGGGAGGGGTCGGGCTCTGCTCCCAGGGAACAAGGGACAGGAGGAGAGGGAACGGCCTCAGGCTGTGCCAGGGGAGGGTCAGGTTGGACATCAGGAGGAATTTCTTCGTGGAAAGGGCTGTTAAACATTGGAAGGGGCTGCCCAGGGAGGTGGTGGAGTCCCCACCCCTGGAGGCGTCCAAGGAACGACTGGACGTGGCACTCAGCGCTCCGGTCTGGGTGACAAGCGGGTGCTCGTGAAAAGGTTGGTCTCGGTGACCTCGGAGGTTTTTTCCAGTCTCAGTTATTCCCGTGACTCCCGAATACCGGGATAATCCGAAGATCCAGAGGGTGGCGGCAACACCTCCCGCCCGCTGGGGGGCGCCCTGCGGGCCGCGCCGGAAGCCGGAAGTGCGGTCGGGCGGCGATGGCGGCGGCCGTGTCGTCGCTGAGCAGTTTGGGGATCCCCGATGGCGACGGAGGGGTGAGTGGGGGACGGGACGGGACAGGACGGCACCGGGAGGGGCGGGAGAGGGAGCCCCGGCTCCCTCCCGAGGCTGAGTGCGCGTTGTTTCAGAGCTCCTCGGAGGAGGAGGAGGCGGGCCCCAGCGCGGCGGCGGCGGCGGCGGCGGAGCAGCGGCGGGAGGAGCGGCTGCGCCGGTTCCGGGAGCTCCACATGAAGCGGGTACGGATCGGTCCCGGAGCCCCCTCCGGCACGTGGCGGGGAGGGGGGTGGGGAGGTTTACTTGGCCCTGCGTTTGTTTGTGTGCAGTTCTGGGCTGCTCAGTGCAGGAAAGATGAGGAGCTGCTGGGGGGGGGGTCCAGCGGAGGCCGCAGAGATGATTTGGGATCTGGAGCATCTCTGGGATGAGGAGACACCGCGGGAGTTGGGCCTGGTCAGTCTGGAGGAGGGAAAGATGAGAGGGGACCCTCAACCCTTGCAAATATCTCCAAGGGGTGTCAGAGGGTGGTCCCAGATTCTGTTCAGTGGTGCCCAGTGACAGGACAAGGAGCAACGGCCATAAACTAAACCACAACAAGTTCCACCTCAACATGAGGCAGAACTTCTTTCCATGGAGGTGGCAGAGCCTGGAACAGCTGCCCAGGGAGGGTGTGGAGTCTCCCTCTCTGCAGGCATTCCAGACCCACCTGGACAAGTCCCTGTGTCACCTGCTCCATGTGACCCTGCCTTGGACTGGATGATCTCCAGAGGTCCCTTCCAACCCCAGCTCGTCTCTGATTCTGGTTTACATGGTGCTTTCAGGATGCAGTGGCCAGGCCCCCTCCCAGGGAGGCTCCTGTGTCCCCCCAAGGGTTCTGGTTTTGTTGTTCCTGTGCTCAAGTGTTGCCCTGTTTCATTCCCAGTATGAGGCTTGCAAGCTGAACAGCCAAGAAGTGGTGGAGGAAGACAAAAGACTTAAATTGCCACCAAACTGGGAAGCTAAAAAAGCTCGGCTGGAGTGGGAGCTGAAGGTGCAGGAGAAGAAGAAGGTAAAGACACCTTTACAGCTCCCCATGACCCCTTGGAGCCACAGCCCAGGTGCCTGCAGTGACACTTCATGGTGGCTCAACAGACTTGGGAGCTTACACTGATGTTACCCTCCCAAAATCCAAATTCTAATTAGGCTGCTGATTATCTAAATCATTGTCCTGCTCCAGAGGTTGACTGGGCTGATCCAGGGAGATGCAACTGAGTTTTAGGCTTGGCCACTGGCTTATTGTTGAAACTGAAGTGTCCCTTGTGCTGTGTCAGGAATGTGCAGCGAGAGGAGAGGACTATGAGCGAGTCAAGCTGCTGGAGATCAGCGCTGAGGACGCCGAGAGGTGGGAGAGGAAAAAGAAGAAGAAAAATCCCGACCTGGGCTTTTCAGGTAACGGCTTAACCACGCAGCTGTGTTCAGAATGGACACCTGTGTTGGTGTTTTGGGTGAAAACTGGACCATGAGATAAAGCCCCTCACCCTGACACCGTCTGTCCCCAGATTACGCGGCGGCGCAGCTGCGCCAGTACCAGAGGCTGACGCGGCAGATCAAACCTGACCTGGAGCAGTACGAGAAGCTGAAGGAGCAGTAGTAAGTTCTGTGGTATTTCCAAACCAGTAGCAAACACTGGAGACTTAAATCCTTCCAGCACATGCATGATCTCGTGTGCCCTGTGATGTTAATTAGTCTTTAACATGATATTAAAGTACGGCCTGCTAATTGACTTGGCCATCCCTGCTTCGGGGGGCTCAGGGGTAGTGGAGTAATTAATGAGGTTCATTTCTTCAAACTTCTTCCCTGTGAGGGTGGGGAGGCCCTGGCACAGGTTGCCCAGAGCAGCTGTGGCTGCCCCATCCCTGGAAGTGTCCAAGGCCAGGTTGGATGGGGCTTGGAGCAACCTGGGCTAGTGGAAGGTGTGACCTGGTGGAAAAGAATGGTGTTTAAGGTCCCTTCCATCCCAAACAATTCTGGGATTCTGTGAAATCTCAAAGCAACCAATAGTTGTGTAACCTGCTGCCCCTCTTCCCCTCATCCAGCGGGGAAGCACTTTATCCCACCTCCGACAGCCTCCTCCACGGAACTCACGTGCCATCCAAGGACGGGGTTGACAGAATGGTCGCAGATCTTGAAAAACAGTAAGTAAACCCCGGGGCCAGGCGTGTGCCAGAGCAGCTCTGGGCAGTGGGAGGCCCAGGCCTGGCCCAGGGGTGCCCCATGGGTGCCGTTGTTGCCTTCCAGGATCGAGAAGCGGGAGAAGTACAGCCGGCGGCGACCCTACAACGACGACGCCGACATCGACTACATCAACGAGAGGAACGCCAAGTTCAACCAGAAGGCAGAGAGGTTCTACGGGAAGTACACGGCCGAGATCAAACAGAACCTGGAGAGAGGGACGGCTGTCTGAGGCAGCTCCACAGCACACAGCCCTGTGCAAGGGGAGTGCAGATTTTACAGGCAGTTTTATAAAAAAAAGCATTATAGGTGTCGCTTTCTGGAATCTGTGGTGGGTTGAATGGAATAGAAGTGATTTGTGTTACTGCAGCTGTACACTGCTTTTACTTGCAGGAGTAACCAGCTCGTGCAATCTTGTGTTCGAAATAAAGACCAGCTTTAGTCTAATTTAAGGGTTGGTGTTTGTTCTTCAGTAGTGGGAGATTATCAACAAGATGAAAGGTGAGGAAGGTGAAGTGACATTCCCATGAAAAAAACAGCTTCCCAGCTGTCCCATGCCAAGGCTGGAGCTGCCCACACTCCCCGAGGGCCAAGAGAAACACGAGCCCTTGTGCACTGCCAACCTCGGCTTGGCCATTTAATAGTTCCTCAAAGAAGCTTCCAGACACAAATAGTCAAATTCAGTTTATTTTACTAGTAATTTATTTATACAAAACCCAGGTTTAACCAATTGCACCAAGTCCGTGCAACAGCCCGTTGACTTCTCCCATCCTTTTCTCCCGGTGTGGCTGAGGCATGGAGTCATCACAGGCAGCATAACCTGTACCCTGTCAGCATGAACCCTCCTGCACTGACTGCCCTTCCCCTTCCTGCCTCACAGTGACCCTTGGAGGCTGTTTTTAAAGCCAACTAAGTAAAACACAAGCCTGCAGTAGCTCGAGCATTAGAAGGAGCAGAAGGGACAAGTTGCTCGCGGTGCAATATGGGACAGCGAGAAGGGCGGTGACTTCTCCTACAGCAGTCACATACACATCCTACACAAGCTGTCCACTGCCAGAGGGATATCCAGGGAAGGTGCTCAAGGCTCTGAACTAAGCACAGCCCAGGCAGGAACTATTCCAGCATAAAGATCCACTTTAATGATGCAACAACTACCTTCTGTTGCACCTTGTGATAAGTTGGGTAAGTGAAAGCTAAACCACAGACAGGACATACTCATAACACAGGTCTAACACTTCACACGTTAAGCCAGTGCAAAACTAAACTTTATTCACTTGAAGTAAACAGTTACACAATGTAAATCCAAGTGTCCAAAGAACAGCTACTCAACTATGGTTTAGAAAAAGTTACCCACCTGCAAGGTCTAGTCCGATAAAGCAATACAAAATATTTACAAATATACACAAGATTCCCATCTGTGGCTTCGGGATCAGTGTGCTCTCTATCTGAAAGAGAAACCTTAGATTCCAAAAATTAAAAATCTCAAAATAAATACTCAGTATTAACAAATCTTCAACCCCATCAGAAAGTTTGCAATCTCTCTACTGAAGGATGTGAAGTGCTGCAGTCAGTGAATCCCGTCAGCGGGCCCGGAACAGGGTGCTTTTGGGTGAGAAGTTTAAGAATGTTTTCTTCTCCTCCTTCTTGACAGGAACCCACTGCCCATAGGGACTTCCCTTCCTGTCATCTTCTCTTGCTGGAGAAACTACTGGCTCCTTAACAACATGGCTCACTGGCTTCTGCAGGGCTGGCTTTGCCATTGTGTTCTGGAAAAGAAAAAATTTCATGTAAGAAAAGATATTAAAACCTGTCACACCTCAAGGGGTACAAATCCAGTACATTTATCTGGACTGATTATATCAATGTTTCCTCTCCAGCTCTTGGAATACCTGATATAATATCAAGTATATACATTTAACTGACAAAGGATTCAAGAAGTTACTAAGTTTGCATTACTAAAACCTGGTACTTGAAATAAGTTCTAGTTTAAATTAGTTCAAGCTGTTAAGTCTTTGTTTCATCTAGTTCTAGCACTCTCAAGGGTATTGCAGAGTACAGATATAGTCATTGTTAGCAGGTGTAGAGGTAAATACCTATTTTAAATCCACTGCTTACAGTGTTCTACTGCTGAAGGACTGATTAACTCCTCCAGGAAAAGTCATTATCAAACCATTATATTCATTTTTTTACCATGATTAAGATCACTCCCTTGGAAACCAGAGCTGGGAAAAGCCTAAGACAGGAGGGGCTGAGGTACTGGAATTCCACCTTGGGAAGTCACTTACATTAGGACTGAAGGAAATGCTCCTCTGTATGGTTGCTCTCTCCATCCCAGTCTTGGTCATGTCTTCTGCTGCACTTCTGGGTTGCTAGAGAAGAGCACACACAGCCTCAGTGGGAGGACACATCACCCCATGCAAGGTCAGGCAGTTACTACAGAGCATGAACTTTCTGGTATGGAGTTGTTTCAGATATTTACATCAAAAGTAGCTGTAAAGCTACTGGATATGCAAACAGAGCAATGCTGAACCCAATTGGAAATGCATTCAGTATTTTTACCAACGTGGCTGTGCCAATTCAGGTGTGAATGGACGTGATATCCACAGCCCAGGTACAGTTTATAAGGATTCAAACAGTCACAGCATGAACTGTCACACGAGTGCAGTGACAGAGCAAGTGGCATTAAGTTCTGCATAACCATCCTGCAGAGCTTTGGATAATGACAATAAACTTATCTGCAAGTGATGCAGGCCTCTTCTTCTGTACTCTCTCAACATCTGGAATATATTGCATATATTTATGAAAGGGATGCCTGTACCATTTGTGTAAAACCCTTAGTAAATTTACTTCCATTTGTAACAGCAGCATCTGACTCATGTACAGGTTTGTATTTACTGTGACTCAGGTTAACACACTACAACACAACCAGGCTAAAATTCACTTTAAGCTGCTCAAGTTTCTCCCTCCCTTAAATTCACAGCAGCTACAGCCCACAAGTCCCTTAATTACCACCAGATTTTCTTCATCATGTCTGGAACCATAGTCATGATTTCTATAAGACAGAAATAAAGTATGTAAAATGCATTGTGTGCTTGCGTATGGAATTTCTGGGAAACAAGTTTGTTGCACATGAAAAACTTTTAACAGTTCAAAAAAAGGCAGAAAGATTTAAGCTTAAAAAAAAAAAAACCAACAAAAAACCCCACACTATTCACTAGGTTTGGCAAGGAGACTCCTGGTTTAGGTCAGGAAGACATAAACTAGCTGGATTAATGGGCAATATCCCATTAAAAGAGTAAGTCAAAAGGACAAGCTACATTTTCCTCTCCTTCCCCACCTGTCACTACTGGACAGCCTGCACAGGCTCAGAGGATCAACCACCTCTCTCAGGTCCATTGTGCTTCCAGCTTAAGGCAAAGTCTAGAGGTTTTCTAGAGCAGTTGTTGTTCAAGAGTTTGAATTCTTAATCACAAACTCCACAGTTAAACTAGAACACATCCATGCAGACAAGTTTTAAGAAGTGTTTACCTTTGCAGTGAGAACCCTCCTGTCCATACTTACCTCAGCTGACTCTCCAGGTTCTTCCCGCTCCTGTTTTTCATTTTTTATCTCTTTGGCAGGAGGAGGGATCTTCAAGCTCGCTGGCAAGACAATGTTATCTGTTCCCAGAGCTTTGGCAGCATTGGCTTTCGCAATTTCCAGGAGTTCCCTCTTGTCTAAAAGAGGAAGGAAAAAAAAGAAGTGCCTTGTGTTATATTTAAATCCACATTTACCTACTCACACAAGCCTAAAACCTGCAGGTTTATTATCACTGCATCTATGTGAGCATCAACTGTGATGAATTTCATCAGACCTTGAGAGAGGTAGCTTCAGTTCAAGTGCAAAAAATGTGCTCTGAACTACTTTGTTTGTTAAATATGCTTTTATAACCACACAGAGATTTTCTTCCACAGTGCCATTATAAATTATGCTCTATAAAGCAAGTAAACAAAGCAGAACTGGACTGGTTAAAGAAAGCTGTACAGTTGGAGGTTCTCACACAGAAAAGACTCAAGAAAAGTACCTTTCTCACTGAGATGGAGAGGGGACCGACTGCGGGACCGTGTCCGTGACCTGCTCCTCCAGCCCCTGTAAGCCTCGGGATAAATGGTTCGCCCGAATCCATAATACCTCCGGCCTCTGGAACGGGACCTGCTCCTCGAGTAGGACCTTCTGTAGTAGGACCTGCCGCGGGACCAGGACCTGCTGCGGGATCGGTAGCGCGGGGGGGAGCGGCGGTACCTCCGGTAGGTCCTGGCGTGGTACCTGCCCCGGTACCGGCGGTACCCGCGCGACCTGGAGCGGCTCCGCGAGTAGGAGCGGGAGTATCTCCGGTACCGGCGGGAACCGTTCCTTCTGGCCCGGGACCTCGACCTGGAGCGGCTCCAGCTCCGCGAGGAGCCTGAAGAGGAGCTGCTGGAGCTGGACCGTGAGCTGCACGAGGATCTGCTGGAGGACCTTGTGGATGACCTGTCACAGCTCCTCTTGGATCTCACGGACGTCTCTCTCTTCTTCGGAGAGCTGAGGGTCAAGTCATCCATGAAACCCGTCATGTCCTCCGTTTTCTGCACGCAGGTGCTTTCAGAAGCTGGCTCTGTTTTTACTGCTGTTCTGCAATGCCCAGTCTCTGTTCCTGTTGTTGGGTGGGGTGGGGGAAGTTAATTATTCATGGGCATCGAGTCATTTACTCAGCAACAACAAACACCGTGACACACAGGCAAAGAGTTCAAGGATAATTAAACACACTTAACAGTCCTCAGCCAGTTTACCAGCATGTTTTGCACATGACAGTTTTGTTTCACAATTTCCTCACCTGTAGTCAGTCAAAAGACTGAAATATGAAATCACAGGGAAAAAAGGCTTTAGTTTAAACCATGAGTAGTTCTGCATGGAATTTTGGAGAGAGGTAGGTTTGTGCAGGTTTTAAGTGTAATTCCTTTGGTGTAAATGGTACAAGTTAATACCCTTTTGCTCCAAACAGAATTTTCAAGGTATTTTATTTTAACTCTAAATGCAGGCTATTGCACCTGTGATGCAAAATAACCATTTGCCTTCCAGATCAGTACAAACTGATTTTACTCCAAGAGGAGGCAAAATAAAAGTACCCTCAAGGTACAAAACAGCCACTTCAAGGTCTTGACCATCTCATCTTACAAAAAACTCCACGCACAGAGCCCCACCCATTCCAGCAGTGTACACAGCACGCTGCTATTAAAAATTTTCTACACAGATAGTAAAAAAATACAGGTGGTGACTCACCAGACACGACTTGTACAGAACACTTGTTACGGTTATATATTAATAATTAAAATGGCTGTCCCTCTAGCGGCGGCCATTTTATAGCTACAAAGGTTACACGAGTGTAAGGATCTTATCACAGGACTTAAGCCCCGAGTTACGTAACCGCT